GCTGTTTGCTATTGATTCTATGTATTTTTGGAACGTGAAATATTTGCTTAACAATTGTCAACATCTTGGACATTTAAGGGATCTATTTTCAGAATCAATAACTACACACAACATCTTCAAATAGTGGAATATCAAATACTCTCATTGAAGTAAAAATCAAATTAATTCAATGATTCTATCAATTTGTTGAAACTATTTGTCGTTGTATAAAAAGTCAGATGTGACATTACATTTTGTCATCAAAGCTTCAATTATTAACGTGATTATCGTCAAAATGCTATTGCATGAAAAGAATTTGTATAACTAATCTAAAGCAAATGCAATGTTATTTTTTAAACCAACTTATGATGACAATTATTGAATCCAAATTAGAAAAAGAAGAAGTTGAAGTTGATAATGTGTGTTATTGTTTGAGTAATGTATTCTTTCATGGTAATTGATTTACTTCAGGATTTAAAAAAATTATGTGATATTTCCAAACTTGGATATTGTAATGGATATCTAGTTTTTTTGGTGTTAAAATTGCATGCGCAATATCAATTAAACACTTTGCAAAGTATCTACACTCCAAATAGATCTTCTATGCATCTTGTGATCTGCATGAAATCTCTTAGATTGATATTAAGATTTGAATCTATCAAATCATCTTTTAAGAATCTAAATTTCATTACAATTTTTTTTACTTGTAAAAATAATAGTGTGACCATGTTCAAGATGTTTTCAAAACTATTTGATGCAATTTGTCTATTATAAGAGGACAAGCTAATTAGATTTTAAATCGATAGAGCTATCAATATGAACGTGCACTTATCTGATGTTGTCATGTGGATTCAAGAATTCGTCAAATCATATTTCATCTCTGTTTGATCTCTACTGCATTAGGTGAATATCCTGATGCAAAAGATTTACAAAAGTGTTGGTTGTGGATTTCAAAGTACACTATCCTCATTGATTTTCTTTCTTCCACGTCAAATGATTCTAATTTTATAAAATGCAAACCTTTTGCACCAATTTGTTTGTATGTTTTAGTATTCAATGTAGTGTGTATCACAATTTTGGTCAAAATACAATATGAAATCATGACTTAATTTGATTAAAGTGATGCTTTTCAATGAATTTGCGAGATGTTTACATCATTTGATTAATTTTGTTTGCAATATTAAGTGAGATTCAAAGCCATTTCAACAAATGTGTGGAGATTTGCAAGAACAAAAATCACATTGCAACATCAAAAGTCAATTTTCTAATCTTTGTTGGCTAGCTTACAGCTTTCATAAAGCACATTTTCAATGAGCTTAACTCGATTCCAGCTGGACAACATTGTTACATTTGATGGCTGGTCTGGTAGACAGGTTTTTGCATATGTGAAATAGTATTATCAATAGTTAAAGAATTGATCATGATTAATTTAGGTTCAAGTAAATCTAGCTAGTTATGACTAACTTTATCCAGTTTTGACTAAGTTTCACTATAACGTTCATACTTGACGAAATGATTAAAGTATTTCTAAAAAGTTTGAGTGAGCACAACTATTTTGTTTTTTTAATCATAATCAATATTTCAAGTATGGTTGACTTTGACTATATGATTAGTTTTGATTGATTTGACTAAATAATAGGAATTTCATTAGTTAGAATGATTCTTATATTGACTTAGTGACAAATGGACATTCTAAAAGTTTGAAGTTTTAAATGACATGTCGTCATCTGAATCTAATGATTAGGAAACTTCTAAAATGTTTAAATACACAAATGATTTGACTTTTTGTAACATATTGGAAACTAGTCAAAGCTACCATGTTTTATACTAGTAACGTAAGTTAGGAGATTATTATTATGTATTATCATGATAATTTCTTAAGTATTATATATAAAGAGGTAGAGAAGAGTCTTTCAAGCAAGTCTTGAGAGTTCAGTATGTGAAGACTTGTTTCATTAATATGAGTTTGAGTTTCATTATTCTTTGTAGTATCGATGAGTGTTTGAAATTGAGTGATAAGTGGAGAATTTGTGTAAGAGGGTGTTTGAAACAGGGTCACATTGATGAATCTTAGCTTTTAGAACCATGAAAAGACATATAAGAGAAAATTGAGTGACAGTTAGTCCGGAGATCACATGTCAAGCATGCTAATTTGATTAATTAGTTCAAGATCAAGAGCTCTTTACTATACAATTGTTGGCATAATTGAACTCATAACTAAGAGTCAAAGTTTTACATGAGATTGAGATTTTTCTTTTGGAAACAATGCGCAATCTGAGCGTAATCAAAGCTACAGGTGATGAAATCAAACAGAGATAAGTTCCAACATTTTGTGTCATCGCGAGATCCTCCAGAGGCAAATGGTTTAGCTGAACGTGTTGTATAGACGGTGAAGAGGGCGTTGCGCAAGTATGGCCTACAGAAAGGTCATCTTGGGGACTGGGATATCCAGTTACCGTGGTTGGCCATGGGATACCGGTTTAATCGTCAAGCATCCTTGACTTCCTTCTCACCATATTTTCTATTGTACGGCCGAGATCCAGACTTGCCAACATCGATTCGTCATGAGTCTAGCGAGATGGTGAACCTTGATAACCCGAATATGTGGGTGAGAGTATGTTCTCAGCGTGCAGAGCTTTTTCGGAGAGTTATGCATGTAGCGTTTGAGAATCTTGCGATTGCTCAACATAGAGATACATTGCGATGTGCAATCATTCGGGGAGGAGGTTATCGACCATCGATTCGTAGATTCCATGTGGGAGACTACGTCTATCTATAGCAGACTGCACCGACGACGTTGGATGTGACGGCGAGACGCACAATCTTGCGAGTGCGGGAGTTGTTATCTTCTGGAGTTCTCCTGTTGGAGGGTCGTGACGGCGTTGTTTGGAAGGAACATGTGCGCAATTGTGCGCCATGCCACCTCCCAAACGTAGATGGTACTATGAACCCAAGCTTAGTAATAGTACGTGCTGGCTTGATGTGCATGCTGTGTGGATCAGTTGGTCAGGCGGCCCGTATGTTGGTGTGTGATAGGTGATTTAGGGGATGACACATGTCATGCCTAACTCCGCCTATCGATGTTATTCCGGCTGGACGATGGGTTTGTCCTCGATGTACTTTAGAGGGGTAGATGACTTGATCTTCAGATGTTATGAATTGCAGATGGGGCGACATAGCACGCGGCCTACTGGTTCGCGCACCCACGAAGGTGTATAGCATGTAGTTGTAGATAGAGCTACTTGGGAGTCAAAGGTACCTGACCGCCAGCTAGGGGGGCGAGTTGTGATATTTGAGTGTGTACTCTCTCGCGCCTTATATGTGTGTATGTGTATGTGAGTAGCATGCCAGCGATGTAAGATGTATGGCGATATGTATTCGCACGACAGCTGTCATGTAGTTTTTGGTTTTGCTTAAAATAGTGTCGAGCCTAGGGTTTCATGTCGTAGGGTATAGGTCGGAGACGGCTCGAAGAACGTCAGTTCTTCGAGTCGAGCCTAGCGCGTTGGGGTAGTGCCCGTGAGCGTCAGACCTGGAGTCTTCAAGCGTGAAGTGGTTTGGACTTGACTATGTTTGTGACGGTGACGGTTTTGCCAGTAGGGTAAACGACCGACGGGAATTCCAGTGGGAAATCTTCCGTTTATTTCAGTTGTAACATTTGAATGTGTACTCTCTCGCGCCTTATATGTGTGTATGTGTATGTGAGTAGCATGTAAGCGATGTAGGATGTATGACGATACGTATTCGCATGACATTTTTCACCTTGCAGTGCGATCGATTACTTCAAGTTGACTTTATAAGTCTAATAGAACAATCTAACTTCATGAGTCATGGAATATTCTATCAAGTGTAGATTTCATCAATGGCCTAGTTCTTTGGAGTATTAGACTTTCCATTTACCTACACGGCCACTAAATAAAGCTCAATTGGGAAAAGTATCTTTAGAAATAAATAGTAATAACAACATACCTTGAAGTAGTGTAGTATTGTATTGACTTCAATTTCAAAATTATTGAAAAAAATAAAATAAAAAATATATTTACTAATCTCCTTATACAGTATTTCATCTTTTGCTCTCATGACAATCCTTACTTTGTACGGAACATACGGAAGGTTCCCTACTTAGAGAGTACTGTTTTTGTATGGTCTAACATATGTGAAGAAGATGATATCACGTTTATTAGAGAGAGTAGCTATTCGTAAATGTAACCAATATTTGGAATGATTTGAAGCCATTCAGGTCCATAATACGTAAGGCAGAGTACTTCTGCTATCAATACTGCAAAGCCATACGTACTGTATGGAACGAAATCGAGTGACCCGGCTGAAGTACAATGCTCAATTGATGGCCTGTCGCTTCAAAGAGAAAAGGACATAATTGAACTCACATGCAATATCATTTCTTGTTGAAAGTTGGACGATCTGCATGCGGAGCCCAATCCATCATTAACAAATGCCAGAGACAATGAGTCCAACTCTGGTAAGAAAGGGAAACACATTTTGTAGGAAAAGGAAATTGATGAAAGACTCAAGCGCAGCGCAACCAGCCGGATGACAGGGGATCAGATCGAAACGATACTGGCGAGTGCCTCTAAAAGGTGTGAGTTACAGTTCAGCTTCGATCATGCACAGGTTCCTTACAGCCTTTCGCACCTTTAAAGGACATGTGTGTCAACTTATACCTTGAAGCTCTTGAACTTGCACCCGCGATTCGCAGATGTGCCACCTGGAGCACACGTCATTGCCATGCTCCGTCAGCAACAACTACCTACAGTGTGATCATGTTTTCCATTTGATTTCCACGGTCCCTAGATCTTCTTTTTCACCCAACAAAATTTACAAGTCTGTCTCCGAGCTCGAATGGAATTTCAAGTTGTGAGCATTTGAACTAATACAGTGGAGGAGAATATCTGTGTACAGTAACGTATACATTGTTTACTGCGTCTGGTTGTGAATTCTGGTCGCGGACCATACGAGCAGACTTCGGCAATCACAAGTTGTACGTGCTCGTATATCACTTTGGGATGATATGTACGCACAAGATTCTAACAGTTGTAACCTTTTAGTATCGTAGTCTAACTTTTCCACTGCGTATATTATATTACGCTCAATCGCTGACGCGAGGATCGTATGATGTCAGAGCCTTTCAGAGTTGAATTCTGCAGTTCAAATATCGCAATATCGGCAGCCAACGGTGCCATGACAACAACAACACAATATGGCTGCATGCCTGTCGGTAGCAGACAAGTGAAAGTTAAGGAGTCGGAGCAATTTTGAGCGAATTTGAAGAAGTTAGCTGGTTTTGGTCAAGGGAGCCTGAATAGTTGGTTAGCAGGGGAAGAGAACAATGCAAGTCATGGCTTGTAGCTCACGTCACCGGTCGTCCGATGTGGATTAGCATCCGAATCATCGCGAGCCATAATTGGAAAGTCCGGCTAAAAGCGCAGATTAATGAGTGCTGATCGATCATTGACATGCTTCGCTTTCCTGCGCTTCCCACGGAATCGTCCTTCGTTCGATCTTCTGTTCTTTTCCTTCGTGTGCGCAGCTACCCACCCACAGCGTTCGCAAGATGTCAGCTGCTCGGCAACTCCTCGGAGCCGTAAGGCGTCACGGAGGAGGGCCCAAATTTCGAAGATCCTTCAGTGGTTCCAGTAGTGGACTTCGTGATGTTGTGATCGTTGCAGCGAAGCGGACTCCCTTCGGGGGATTTCATGGAGGTCTCGCTTCGCTCTCCGCCGTTCAACTCGGATCGGTGGCTATCAAAGGTGTGTGATTGGATTGCAGTCTCGTCTCTGAATTGAATGTGGGTGATCTTTGGGGGTTCGATTACAGCGAAGGTTTGGAGACTAATTCAGTCTCTCTGTTCATGCCTGTTCTCTGCTCTGCTTGGGCTTACGTCATGATTGATTTGCCGCTGAACAAACAAGCATGACCAATAATTCCCTATTACTGAATGGGATCGAACACAATTTTTCTCCGGAAATTCTCTTTGGCTTGTTCTCTACTCCCACTATAGCCTCTCTGCCTCTTGAGGACTTCCGGGAGAAACGAAGTGAGGCTCTTCAGTTTTCAAAGCCAATTTCAGCTCCGCAAATCCGATCTAACCTTCAACTGTATCGGAAAATGATTGCGTCCATGCTTACTGTGTTAAGACTTACTCGGAGAGCTACTAATTACACTAAACCTCTCATCCAAGAGTTTAGAGTTTACATTTTGTTACTCCTGCATAAATTTTGTTGAATTTGCTTACCAGTGAGGAAGTGATGGTTTTGTAAAAAGTGGGTCAACGAAGGCCGAGCAGATATAGCTTAATGCGACTGCTTCAAGCCAAGTGTTCGCAGCGACAACGGAACATGGATTAGTATCGTCTGTGCGGTTGAATCATGCTGTTGACGATGTAGTCGATCTGTCCTGGTGCAGCCGCCGTGGAGGAAGCAAATGTCAAGCCTGAACAGGTCCAGGAGCTGTTCATGGGAAATGTACTTAGTTCTGGTCTCGGCCAAGCTCCTGCGCGACAAGCTGCCCTGGTCTTCTTCCACCTTCGTTAGCCTATGACATTGTGCTATGACTGGAGTATGGCATCTGTATGGTTGAAGTTTCATTTTACAGAGAGAAGGAGTAAGTTGTTACCTCTGATGAAGTTTGCTCAGTGGTTTACAGGAGGCCGGATTGTCACTACATTGCGTTTGCACCACCGTGAACAAAGTCTGTGCCTCCGGAATGAAAGGTTACTCTACAAACTTAGGCTCTTGAAGAATTTATGTGGAATGATAGGTGTTGGTTTCACGAAGTCAGGTTTATGTGAAATATGGTCAGGTTTCTCAGGCAGAGTCTATTTTATATATATCTTATGCTGCGGGTGCTCGTTTCCTTATAATGTCTCGCAGACTCCATATAGAAGAGATGATGAAAGAGTGTGTAAAGGCCTCTGTCAAAGATGAATGAACTAAACATCTAAGATGGTCAAATCTCCCTGGCACGGTCTTTTTGTGAAATTTTTCCGTTGCTACTGGTGCTCGTTTCTAGGATAATGAATGAAGAAGAATGGAGAATAGTGGCTGGCAGACATTTTCTTCTAGAGGGAATAAGAGAGTGTGTGAAGCCTTCAATTTTCAGTTAGATGAGTTGAAACTCTAAACTGGGTTTGTGACCTCTTGATAGCCGTGATGTTGGGGGCTCAGAGCATTGCAATGGGCGTGAATGATCTCGTTGTGGCGGGAGGTATGGAAAGTATGTCCAATGCACCCTATTTGATGTCACGTGCCCGAGCTCCGAAGCACACTGGAGAATTGAAGTTGCAGGACAGCATGATGAGAGATGGACTTTGGGACCCCATCAAGAATGTTAGTATGGGAGATATTGCAGAGTCTTGTGCCGCAGAGATGAATATATCCCGGGAAGATCAGGTGAATCTGGCCCGTCCTTGGCTTCCTTTCTCTTGACCTGTTTTCCCAGAGCTTCTTCGTTGGCAGGTCTGCTAAGTGGAGATTCATCAAGGGGAAGGGAACAGAACTTTTTGCCATAAGAGGCTAATGAGAATTCCTTTGGTTCGAATGTGGAATTCAGGATCAGCACGCCATCCGGAGTTACGAGCGTGCGACAGCGGCACAAGCCACTGGAATACTGAGTCATGAAATTGTACCACTAACGATATCTGGCCAAAAAGGAAAAGAGAATGTTGTATCTCAAGACGAAGAGTGCTCGAAGGTAAATCGTACGCAACATATAAGGCAAACGCCGTGCTCTGGAAGTGATTGATGAAGAGACGAATAGAAAGAGATAAATTTGATGACATAAACATTCGGTTCTGCTACTACCCCATTCCATTCGGTGTTCTTCTGGGTATAACGGTACATTCAGTGACCAGTACCCGGTTTTTTTTGCCTTTTACGCTTCCGCGTCAGGGCTTTTCCTTCAGATCATCCACCTGCACATCACGGGAGTGTAAGACGCCCCATAAAGTTCGAGTCCCTGAACATCTAGCTTGTTCCATCATTTAATTAACACTCTCCAGATGTTAGATTTGTACTCTAGACCGACGAAAACTTGTGTAGGAATTTGGTAGAAAACACACTTAAGACTCACGTGTGGGACGGAAGACTTCGGATTCCTTGTGTATGTTAACCCTCGTAAAATATTCGAGAACCTTGGGTGGAATTATTTCTGACATTCTAGATAGTTCTTTGTGTTGGCAGTTTGATCCGGAGAAGCTACAGAGCTTGCATCCTGCTTTCAAAGGAGATGGAACAGTCACAGCGGGAAATTCATCTACGATTAGCGATGGGGCAGCTGTTCTGGTTCTGTCTTCTGCTGCCTTTGCCGAAAAGGAAGGTCTCAAGATTCTTGCCCGAGTACGTGGCTTTGGTGACGCTGAACAGGTCAGATCTTAAACCTGTGGTTATGGATTACACTACATGAATATGTCCTCCAGTGTGCTGGTTTTTAACAATCTTTTGATGCCTGGGAGGCGATTGAAAGAATAACCTGCGATGTGGAGATCTCAGGCTCCCGAGAAGTTTCCCACGTCTCCAGCGTTGGCCATCCCTCGAGCTCTCAACCACGCAGGATTACAGCTGAAGGATGTTGATCTGTTTGAGATAAATGAAGCTTTTTCGGTGAGTGTCATGCTGACTTTCACGCTAACCTTGAAGCCTAGATTTGTAGATGGCAAGCACGGGCATCTTTGTGCACTCGGATGGATATTTCTGTTGAAACTTGATGTATGATGCAGTTCTGACCTTTCTGATCTATGTCAAATATTCTTTCGGTAAAAATCTCCCATTTTTTTGTTGACAGGTAGTAGATATTGCAAATCAGCAGCTTCTTGGCCTTTCTCCCGATCAAGTAAATGTTTATGGCGGTGCAGTCTCTCTGGGACACCCCATCGGAGCATCGGGAGCACGAATTATTATGTCCCTCATCACTGGCCTAGCTTTCAAGAACTTGAAAGTGGGCGTAGCTGCTGTGTGCAATGGTGGCGGTGGAGCCTCGGCCATCGTAGTGGAGAGAGATGACAGCCATGTTCTTCATGAACATGGGCGTGCCCGGCTAGAGGTGAAAGACGAAGCATAAGAAGTTGTTACGATGGACGAGGTTTCACTCTCCTGGGATGTGCAAGTCCATCTTCCACCGAGTAACAAACTGGCGCTTACATGATTCAGTACATCGCATCGGACAGCTGAGGTCCTGCACAAGATCAGTTAGCGACTCATGTTGACGTGTAGGAAGTGCAATGACCTCGGAGTCCAGACTGGTCACCATGGTTCTCACATGAATGAAATGTACATAGTTATGGTGGGAGTTCCAAAACGCTGTGAAAAATCTGAACTGGACAGGAGAGTGCGTAGTTCTGACCTCTGCCGGGCAGGCATCAAAGCCACTTTAGTCTAGCGACGTGTGCAGAACGTGGGGCCTCAGAGTCTCGCTCATATAAATGTAAATAATTTTCCATCTTCTGGCTACTTCGCCTTCAAACTGCTCCTGAAAAGAGCGTTTGTATGAGTCGGAGTTCCATCTGAGATTGGAACTATTGGAATTGTACTGTTGGAGTTGTACATTTCTTCTGTGATCATAAGTCGGCTGCTTCCAGCTTTGTTGCACAAATTTTATTGATAATAGACGAGTCACTTGCCAGCCTCGTTAAGTGGTATTGGATCGTCTCATGAGGTCGAAGCAGGACTTGAATGAAGTGATGATGATTCGACGGACTCCATTATGCGGCAAAGACTTGTGGTCACACATTGCAGCTGGCGGAGTTCAGTTGGATTCGGACAGTACAAATACAATATACGCCTTGCCGGCGGTAGTGGGATGGCTAGATCGAAGGTTGAAGCTTCACCGGAAGGGATGGCGCAGCCCTGCGGAATCGAAGCTCATGTTTGTTGATCCGCGTGAGACTCGATGTCCGATGGTTTCCCGAAGATGCAGAGCAGAGCTGCATTTACGGCAGTGGTGTACTGTCAAAGGTTTTCTGGGACGAGGTGAAGCGTCATTGTTGGTGGCTCAACCCATCTCGAGGGCGGTGAAAACTGATCAGATCGCTGGCCTTTGTTATGAGAAGAGAGTAAGGTTTGTGAGGCGAAAATAGTTAGGGTTGGATCGTGGGCTCGAGGAGTTGGTATGGGTTTTCGGTGGAGGTTTTACAACCCAAATTCCGAAGCCCACTAGTTCCACTGGTTGCAGCTTCTATTCCAGTTTTCATTCCTTCGGACTTGCAACTGCCACTTCAACCTCCTTTTCCTCGCTACCTCTTTCGTTTGCTAGCCCCATGAATGTCGAAAATTCCATGGCCTTCCCCGTTGGACATCTCCCCTAAATCTTCTCAATTCACATCTCTTCAAGCAGGGTTGTGACGTTTTCGGCAGCTCGTGTCTAGTTCATCCCGTTGACAAATTGCCTCCTGAGAGTCCGCGCTAACTCTGGACGGGTTTTCTCCCGTGTACAAGAAATTCCCTTTGCTCACCTCGTCCATGTGAGCTACCCATCCCATATCTCATCCACACGCTGGCCTAGTCTCTGCGGCCTCTAGGTTACAGCTTCTCTAGCTCATCGTTCCACCGTCTCGCTGAATTCCCTGATCCTGAGCCTTGCACTATACTCATCACTCAATGTAGTGCCACGGTTTTGGACCGAACCCCGGGCGTTGAATGTAGAGTGTCGCGTATCCTGAATTGAGCCTTCCGTTCGGGGACTATCGATCTTTTGCAATTCTGCGAGAGAAGCCGACGAATGGACGAGAATAGAGAATTGGGAGACATCTGCGAGTGTTTTACACTTCTGGAATGAATTTTCGTGCAGAATCTGTGTGTCAAAGAGAGTTTTGCTGGTCTCCGGATTCTTCTGTTTCTTTTCTTTCACTAATCTGGCCAGTATCACGGAAACATTGGGCAGTAATGCGTCCAAATGGGTTGGGTGCGCGCGAAAACTAGCGCAGCTTAATTGATTGCTTGCAATGTCAAACACAACGGGGTTGTTTCGACAGGCAACACGCCCGAGAGTAGAGTGTTCAGTCTCGTGGGTTACAAGCGAATAATCGCCCGTCGTCTCATTCATAATTAATAACCATGTCTGTGGTTTTCAGCTTTGAAGGGTATTTAACAATTCAAGGAGTGAACATCTAGCACCAAGACGAGGAAAGGAGGCTCATGAGGTCATTCAAAAGCTTTAAAGAAAGATCGGACGAACATGGTGTTCGAAAAGAACAGGAAAGGCTCGAGAAAGGCTTCGATGTTCTTCTAAGGTGGAATACCCTAATTAGTTTTCCATCTTGTGACAGAGTGCTTTTCCATCTAAATTCCATGTGAATCCTGACTCCTGAGCTCAAAACCGATCCTGACGCTTGCTGTGCAATATCAGCGGAGCCAACCAGGATCGCATCAAGAATCAACATCGGAGAAGAGAAATTTTACGAGCAGCCTCTATAAAGCTAAAAAATGAGACGAGGTGTGTCCTCACAACGAACGCTGAGAACATTCGGGAGTTTGCACCATTAGGAAAAATGTGTCGTAGGGTGGGGACGGTGTCCTTTCCAGTTACCGGATGTCCTGCAAAGGCAGTCACAGTCCTTGTCATCAGTATGATCAGTTTTCGTTCTCGTCGTGGAAGTTCATAAGGCAAAGACGCGAACCGACCACTCTTTAGTATGAGACATCTAGACCGGGAATGCCTTTGCTTCAAGCTGTGAAATCAAGGAGAAACGAACCAGGCGGGTTTCCTCGAGGAATTTCGTACAGTCAGAAACTTGCAAGAGATTGCGGAGGTGCTGCTAATGTTATTTGCGTTGCATCCGAGTGGTGTGCAGGTCCAGGGAAGGTTCCAGAGGGCGTAAGAACTGGAAGAAGGTCAGCTTCTATCTTTACGACAGAACGTGGGGTTCAGTACAAGCTTTAACCAGCAATAAGCCACGAGCTAAAAACTGGATGCTTTCGTTCTGCTTGTTAAATTTATGCTGCTGTGAGAGCCATTGATCCAGCTGAGCTTGAGCATTTGGGTGGCTCACAGGTTCCCGAAATAAAAATCAAAGCAAGTGATGGAACCAAAGTTCCGGTGCCCAATCCTCTTCCAGTGGTCGAGGATGCCGTGGTGGCGAGGGAGACGATTGCTGCTGCAGCATCACCAACATTTACGGAACATTCTGACTACACGGTCAGCAGCGCATCCATCGATGAGAAAGCAACCGAAAATGCAGAAATGCAGATCGAGTCCTTCAATGGAAATTTGGGACAGTGGGACATCGTGGAGAAGGCTGCTTGCATCAATTCTGTTCCGTCCTTGTGGAACGAAGAAACGAAAGTTCTGGTGATGTGCCCCGGATTAACCTTTGAGTCTCCTTTTCACGGGCCCTGCTCCTGGGAGCATACACCGGGTCGGCACGATGGCAGAAGCACAAGCAGTGAGCATTCCGAAGCTCTCTGTTGGGCTCCGAGGGATGAGATGCGTCCAGATAGTCAAGGGGAACTCGGCATCGTTTATGACGTCTTTTACCAGGACGAGGTTTTCGAGCCGTACGAAGCATTTATGGTGACCGAGGATCTTCAGAACGGTGTACAGGAAGAGTCGGATGAGAACGTGGATCAGCCAGATGACACTTTGAGCAGGTCAGCGACACCTCCACTCGAAAGGGTCGAGTCTCCTGAGTTCTCTTCACGAGTCACCTTGAAATCCTTGCCGAGCATGAGTACGTGCAATAGCAATGAGGAGTTTCTATCGTTCTCTCGCAGAGATTTGTCTGTACTTAGGCAGAGTTTGCGAGAGCTACAAGTAGGCATATTCCAAGAAAATTTTGCTGGCTTGCATGGTGGCACTTCTGAGGAGATCCAGGAAGATGTCATTCCTGCCCGAGGACTGACTGAGGACGAAGAACAGGATCTAGTGCCGAAGGTTCTGACTGCTAGAAGTTCACTCTGTCAAGAGATGTTGACACAGCAGGAAAGGAAGGTGCGTCCTTTGTCTGCAGCACGTATTGTTAGGCCATTTTCGAGTAGTGTTGTGCTGGGACCTAAATCCCAGCCAGTTGATTTGAAAGAACGATGCCCACAACTCTCTGCCGTTGCTGAGCTGCCCCGGGCAGAGTTGGATGGAGCTCAAATTCGCGAGAATGAGATAGGTGAGAATGTCTTGCAACGAGAAAAAAAAGTTCTGCCTGGTTCTGCAGATATTGATCCTTCTTTTCGCCGTGCTGATTTGGGGAGCAGTGGCAGTAGTTTGACATCTTCGTATGCCACTTCACGAACAGGGGTATCTGCGGATGATCAAGAGGCCTCAGTATGCAAAAAGACCAAGCAGTTGCGACTGGAAACTCAAGAGGCATCTGAGGGCACAATATTGGAACTGCTGAGTGCCAAGGTGCAGTTGCTGGATGTTTCCCAGCAAAAGTACCTTCTGCGGGTTTTGGACAAACTTGAAAGGGCCAAAACGAGCGGTAGCCTCAATCTTCCATCCATGTTTGCGTCTCTGGAGCGATCTTGGATGGGTTTACCTTTGACCTCTCCAGAAGTGGAAGGAGCTCCTAAAACACATCTTATTGTCCTTCGAATCCTTTCAACCTGGGGAGACACCAAGTTCGTGGGGCTTGTCGAGGTATCGCTTGCTCAGGCACCAGAGCTTAAATTCCTTGTTGCAGCGTATAAGGCTGAGGAAAGGGCTGCCGAGCTTGAACATGTCACTATGTCGCACGGGAGATCATGTTTCAAATATTTCTAAGGTAGCTTTAAAGACAGGAAAGAATTGGTGTAAGCACCACCTCGCACTAATATGCTACACAGTGTCCATGACTTTCTTAAATTCAGAAAGCGTGAATTCTGTAGTATGGGTATGCAGGTTTTTTTTTCTTTCCGACGAAGAGCTGTATCCTACGTGTCTTTCTCCCAGTTCTCTGTGTGCTGCGTAACAAAAAATACGTAGCACACAATGAACTAGATCTTGTTCAAAATCTCCACGATAGTTCCAATCTTGTTTGGTCACCAATATATACATTTGTTCGTGCACTGATCTTCTTGAGTTGAGGGAAACTAAATTATTCGGACTCTCATATATAGCAAAAAATTCATGAATTCCGCTATAACGGTGGTGTTGAAAAGAAAATTTTCTCTGCAACTCCACTCCTGCTTCCTGTCTTCACTTTCATAGATCGGAACGGATCGCATAAAGTGTCCAAACGTATAAGCTGAAGCTGGCTGGGCTGTTTTGTGTGATCAATCTCAGGTGGAGCTTTTTTCTATAGAGGGTACCAAGCTGGAGTTGCAAGCCTCTAATATATCATTGCAGGGTAGTAATCCTTCAGATCCTACCCCCTGTGAGACTATCTCCAGAATACTGAACGGGGTTGTCAATACTACGCGTGAAAAAAACATGTGGCTCTGCCCTCTACCACCTGCAGGCGATCCTCCTCTTGAGATTCACATCCAGGTCCCTGGTCTGGACCTTATTCCGGGACATATGCGAATTTGGAACTATAACAGAAGTATAGGCGAGACAACCAAGGGTGTAAGGGAGATGCAAGTATATGTTGATAGAGAATTAATTTGGCAAGGCATGGTAGGGAAAGGTTGTGGAAATCGGGTTTTTGATTACTCCAGTAGAATACCATTGCTGGATGAAGCTCCTCTCTCAGCGACAACATCGACCACAAAAGTTCAGAGCAGTTCTGCATTTCAGGAAAATCACTCCCTATCAAGTGCCCCTGAAGAAGAAAACAAAGTTCCTGATCAAGCAGTTTCTGACTGTGCTTTATTTTCAGTTGGAACTTCTTTCACTTTCAGTCCTATTGAAGGCTCGTCATCACCCAGCTCATGCGGCTCTTTGGTTTCAGCATCTTCTCCCTTAGAGGGATGCAGTGTGTTGACTGCCACATCTGAATTGAGCGGTCCAGACGGGGGAATCGTACCAGTCGTTGAGGAAAGAGGTTGCCTAAGACTGGATGGTGCAACCGACGAATGCACCTTTGTGAACGGTGATGCTTCTTCGTCTGTTTCTGAGCACGAAAGAGTGAATCTGAGTGCAAGGCAAGTAGCAATCAATATATTGCTCTTGTCTCCATATGCGTCCGAGAACTTACTTAGCTGGTCACGATTTCTCTTGTCCTCTTGACTATATATTCTCGGACTTCTGCTTCACCACCTAACAATATGATCACTTATATTTACTTGCAGAATTGCCGAAGGTGATGTTAACCATGATACAACGGAGTCAATGCGGGATCACAATGCAGAAAAATTCATGCCGATCTGGCTTAAAGGTACGTAAGCTGCACCATTCATTCAACCCCAGAACTGGGACAGACGGAGTATCGTTAGTGATATGCATATGAACTAATGCAACCAGATAGGAAAGTTGGCTTCTTAACCTGTAGGCATTAGTTATATCAGTACTGCAGGTAAGCTGTTCTAATTGCAGATTTCACCTACTCGTGTACCAATATTAGTGAACAGTCTGCAATTCCGATGACTATTGAAACTTCTGACAATCATCAACAGGAAGTCAAACAGAGGAAGATGCAGGCGCACATGAGTACGAAGAAGAGCACCAAGAGGTGGATAATATGCAGCTATATTCAGAGAGGGCTCAGAGTAACCATTCCGATGAAGAGGATGAGATCTGCGAGGATTCATCTTACCAGGGTCTGCCTTTTGGACTTCGACATCCAGCTTTCAGAAATATGGAGTACTTAGAGGCTCCTGTCGGCAGTGATAGCTGGTTCCGTCAAGCGGTGATTCAGGCAGGAGAAACTTATGAGGAAATGATGCTCGGATATAATCAACACGAGAGTGAATTCTCAGCGTCGAAGGAAAAGAACATATGCGACTCGAGTAGTAGCAAGTCTAACTGTGATGAGAGTAAAGACCAAGAAAAATCTGAGTACTGCAATTCCCCTCGCAAGCAAAGGCTAATGCATTCAGCATTTTCTGGACTAAGGAAAGTAGTAATCCGGCTAAGACTGGGCTTGAGAGTGGCTGGTAGGGACGAAACACCACCGGCGGAAATCCTTACTGAGTCGGATGACATCAATGGAGGTGATGGTGTAAACCTCCTACCTCAAACTAGTGTAGGGAGGATAAATTTTTTACTTGGCTTGAGTTCCAAAAGAATGCCAGGTCGACAAGAGGAATGTGAACCTGATACAATGTACGGGGATCCCAATTTTGTCTCCTCAAGTATATTTGAATCGGCCACTGACTGTGAAGTGAGAGATTCTTGGGATTCCCTCCTAAAATTTAGAGCTGCGCAGATGAGCGATCAGCAATTTTGCTCCTCAGCCATATTCTGCAAGCAGTTTGAAAAACCTGCGCAATCAACTCGTTTTTTTTCTCCGGATTCAAATGAATCTGAATTTGCTCCTATCTTTTCTCAACCTCCTGTCAGTGATATGATTTTTCAAACAAAGAAACAGCTTGAAAGTTTAAGATCCAGTTTGTGTGAAGCGGTCATGCCTTCTAGTGAAAGTGATGGCCGGAATGGACAAAATGAAAGCAAGTTCTGGTCAGATGCTGGCCAGGATCTGAATATCAATCAGGGAACAAATTCTCTGGTTCCAGATTTCCAGACAGACTCGTTTAAAATTCCCACTCTTCCCCGTGGTCGAGAATTGATCGTGAATATTGTTTCGACATGGGGAGACCCACATTACGTCGGATTGGTTGGGATTGAGATGTTTGATGACAGAGGGCATTTGATTCAGATCAAAGATCCATCGAGACAGATCCAAGCAGACCCTCCAGACATCAACGTCCTTCCCGGATACAAGAATGATCCTCGAACGGTCGATAAGTTGGTGGACAACGTAAATTTGACCTGTGATGATTATCATGTCTGGCTCACTCCTTTTACTCCTGGAAGGCCTCATTTGATCAAAATAAATTTTGATTCTACCTTGACTTTATCCGTGCTCCGCTTTTGGAATTATAACAAGTCCAGAATACATTCCTTTCGTGGGGCTAGGCTTGTGGAGGTTTCTCTGGATCAGAGGCTTATATTTGTGGGTGAGCTGAGAAAGGCATCTGGCCTACTCGCAGATGCTGCACAGCACGCGGAACCCATATTGTTCACTAATAATGAGGTGATTTCCTGCTGTTGGCTCCGTAACGTCATTTCTTTCCCGCTGTATTCGGTTTTCATGAGTAGTGTTTCCTCAAGATTCCTCTCTTGTAGTGAATCTCAAGTAATGTAACTCCTACTCTCGAATGACAATCATTTGCTGGTATATATAGGTTGTTGAGATATTACTTTGGTTCGGCACTTTTCATTCTTCTACAGAGCTCGACTTCATGTAAGTGTTTAATCTGTAACTGGAGGGAAAGTGTTCACCTCAATGTAAATACTGACAGGCAATACTGGAGGCTGTTGAGCGCTACGATATGCGGTATCACAAAGAGACAGAGTCAGTTCTTGCTCATGAAACTGCCATGAAGCCTTTGCAGCGTCCAGATACTGCTGGAATGAATACAGCGGCTTTTTCATCAAAATTAAATTTGGAGAACATCAGTCTCGCTACGATTAGTCTGGAGGGCGGAGATCGGCCTGCTACACATGCTATAAGGTTCAGATCAAGTGTTCCAGGGAATGTGCTGCCCTTGGTGAATCCTGAAAGAGTCGAGCCCCACAGTGAACATATGAGGCTTCAACACTTTTCAGTTTACCAAGAGAGATGTCCAGTTGGTCGGGTATTGACGCTGAATCTGCTGGACACATGGGGTGATCCTCACTATGCCGGACTCACATCGATTGAGGCAAGTCTACACTTTTTCTTTTTTCATAGTTGGAAGGCTTTACGGTCATTTATAGCACCCATCAAGAAGTCAAAGAGACTTGTTAAAGCAAGAAGCAGCCTTCTCTCAACTGTGAAGAATTGAATAAATGTCACAAATAATATGATGATATTTGGATTCCACATACGCACTTTGTAGGTGATCGATCCAGATGGTGTTCCTTACTCAATCTCAAAGGACGCCCTCACTGCAAAGCCCAGAGACCTCAATGACATTCCGGGATGCAGAGGAGATCATCGTACACTTGACAAGCTTGTGGACGGCTGTTGCGTCTCTACGAACGATCATCACATGTGGCTTATACCGTTTGAGGGCGCTAAAAGTGAACATTGGCTGAGGATTGACCTTGGAGTGTCCTTACCAGTCGCTGCTCTGAAAATTTGGAACTACAACAAAAACCTCGATGACACCTGCCGTGGAGTAAGCCTGAATTATATTTTGCATTGCCCTAAACAAGAACTCAAACTCTAGAGGAAGTTTTTTGAAGTAAATTCAATGGTGGTTGCAATAGCTGACGACAAGCGATTGAACAGATTCCAAGTTCTGTATTGTGATAGCATCTGGGTTCTCTGCGTTGGTGTTCTGCTAGTGTTATCTAGTATCATCCATACTTTCTCATATCGTCCATCTTGGTCTCCATTGAATAATTTAAATTCATACATTCAGCTTGGTTGACTGGATCAGGTGAAGTGGCTCCAAGTGCACTTGGATGATTTGGAAGTTTCACCTCCCGGAGGTCACCTTGTTCGCAAGGGTATTTATCTAATGTGACGGTCCTCTTTTCTCAATTACAATTGCACAATGAGATAATTTCCTTAAACTCTTACTTCGCTTGCGGGTGTTTCTGGTTGCAAAGACAAAGTTTGTTCTATGATTCCTAGCCTACTAAAATTCCTTATCTTTGAGTTGACCATCGTAAGCTTTCACTTCAGCAACACAAGTGCTGCTAAACTTTTAAACTTTATAATTCACGATCGATCCACTACTTAGACAGTCAATTTGTTCATTGCCGAAAACAGCGCCGGGCACAGACAAGTTTGACTTTGGACATGTTTTGCCCTTGTTAAGAGCGAAGCACAACAAACGTGATTTCAGTCAACTAGAGAAGGTGATTGTCTCATCCGCCTTCTTTACCCCTCCATTGGCATGGCTGGATTCTGCTTAGCTTCAGTGGGCTCAGAAAATTTTCTTTCACTCCTTTCAACCTTTAGCATGATGATTTCTAAAACCTGCAGTATGTACCATGCTCTGTTGTGCTGGTCAGTTCTTGACACGCAGATATCAGCAAGCTAGTTACTCGAAGTTTACATGTGCTAGAAGTCAGTCTAGTGGTGATCACAATGGTAGTAATGTTGGCTGTGCAGGTGAAGTTCAGGGAAAAGGCGAAGCAAAAAAGAAGTCATGTGGAATTTCTACGCCAGGAGTATGAAACCCCTCTCCTCCCCTGTGGGTGTATCCGATCTTTTGATCTTGCCTATCATTTCTTTGCTGTATTTGTTTTCTCTACCTAGGAAACTAGTTTGTCAGACAATGTTGACATTCTTTGACTCAAGTCCTCAGTTGTGGTCAAGTTGACACTCCTTTCCACTTGGGGAGATCAACATTATATGGGTCTCAACGGGGTGGAGCTCTATGATGAAGCGGGGCGGATTCTACCACTCTCCATATGTATCCTGTCGATAGTTCTCCTGTGCTTGATGTTTGCTTTCTGCAGAATTTGAGAACCCAATCATGGTTCATTTAAGCAACAGTATCTGCATAAAACCAATAAAAATTGTGAGTGCCAACTTGCGTCTTAGAGGAGCAGTCTGAAGACAGGACCTTATAAACTCAATATATAATCACTTCAGAGCCTCCGACGAAACAGAAGTTAGCCATATAGGAACCCGAGGCCTTTGAATAGTAGACATGAAAGCAAAGAAACCTCACTCTCAGTGAAGAAAATCTAGCAACTTCATTTTCAAAGGTTTCCAAGTTTGAAGGTGTCCTCAATTGTTTGCGGACTTGACTACAAAACTCTTATGATACCAGATAATGTCCATGCATCTCCAAGTAGCATTAATGAGTTGCATGGAGTTTCTGATCTTCGCACTCTCGATAAGTTGCTGGATGGAGTTAATAACACTTGGGATGATCAACACATGTGGCTAACACCGTACGATCCTGGGAAGGTACAACTGGTCCAAGAATAGCATCTCTATTAGTTCAGCTTGTACAAAATATCACTACTTACTATTTTCTAATATCTGCACACCGTGAGGAATTCATATCGATTAAAAAAATCTGATCTGTCCAAAAGAGCTTTAGCCAGTTCTGATTGCTGAGCATTTATGGTATGTTTTGAGTTCCTGACGAGTGACCTTGCAGATCAACTACATCTATTTTGTTTTCGAGCAACCGTGCATGATGTCGGTAATGCGAATCTGGAACTACAGTAAAACTCCCACCAGGGGTGTTTATGAGTTTGAAGTATTTCTCTCTCTCTAAGCTCCAATTGATGCTCAAGCCTTGTATAGTTTCCTTCTTCTCCCAAAGAAGCTCTCTTGCTGATTACTACAGGATATCTCAATACGAACTAAACCAGTCGTAGTTTGTTAGGTTCCATGTTATCCACCTGATTGACATTTCTTACTGAGGCCAGAATTATTTAGCGTTCACGTCACTTTCGAATGAAGATAGCGTAGTTGAAGATATATTTGATGCCAAGTGGAATGCTGAATGACTTGGTTCTATAACTGGCTTTCCTTTCGAGCAATATTCTGACATAGAATATGCATTTCTGTGCAGTTGCATGTTGATGATCTGCTGGTATACAAAGGCTGTTTACGGCAAGCCCCACCTTTGAGCACATTTAGCAGTACTGGTGCTGTAGATTTTTCTCAGTCAATTATCTTCACAAGTGACGAGACCTTGATCCGAACTCATAAGGAGCACACCTACTTTAGAGGGGATATTGAACATACTGACGTGGTTTTGATAAATGACAAGCACATTGAAAGTTCTGCAAAACCCTGCGTTTACAGCGCGTTTGAGAGTCGACAACGACCCGCAACAGGGTTAAGTGGACTGCGGAGGCCATATTAAAATGCAAGATGTGCATGGCGTTTTGTACCACCATGCACATGAGTGAATTACGATGAGGTTGAGAATGCACTAGGAATCCCCTACACATCACCAATCCACAACGTGTTGGCCTGCAATTTTGTAGCCCTCAACTTTAGTGCATTTCTTGTAAATAATCCACTATTTTTTCCTTCCGAAACCCTCTACTATCGTAATTATGTAGGTTCAAATGCTCAAGATACAGAGCAAGGCTGAATGTAAGGCTTTCTTGCGGATATGAAATCATATCTGTCGTGAGTAATCAATTCCGGGCAGAAGAGTCGGCCATTGACACACTAGTTTTATGACAAAAGGTCACATAGGAAGTACGTACAGATAAGCCGACCATCCGTTTTGTACCAGGAAATAATCACAGGCTAATTCACCAGATGCATGAAGCCTTTTGATAGTGAAACGAGAAGAGGAAAATCAGAGCAATTTGATCATTGGGCTGCAGTATATTTCGCTGCCCTCACAACTACGTTTGTGAAGATTGCTGTGGCCAAAGGAGTATCCTTACGTGTCAGAAAGTGTCCAAGCACCTGAGGCAGGATGTCACAACCAATACTTCCATTTACCCGCATGGCTTTACCTCGTGAGGGGCGGTTGAAGTACTGCAAGGGTCTGAAATGGACGTGGGCGTATGTGTGGAAGGAACCTCAGAGGGTATGGTGCGACAACTACTCTCAGCACTTGTCTGAAGTACACACACATCCTGCGCCATAAGTCGCCATGGGAGCATGAGCCCGGGTTTCAGAACTGCGAGGGGCTGAGAAGAACCTGACCTTCTCTGCTGGACAAATGTTTAGAGAATAACGCACACAGCCTCCACGAGGAGTTGACAAGCCAGAGACATCACAAATCGAAGTATCTTTCGATTACACTGGACTGAACCTTGACCGTATGAAAGTAACTACCTTGATATAGTACACGATGTTATAATTAATTCATTATTACACAGAATGAGTAAATCTTTCTGTTGGGCAAAAAAAGCTTATAGAGTTTCTCCATGTCGCAATTTTTGCCGCTGCAAATAGAAGATGACGATGAAGGGAATCTGCACGAAGATAATGATGGTTACATTTTTATATTTGAAGAATCAAATTCGGGTATAGAAAAAACTGTTGTATTTAAAGTACAAAGTCACTTTGTGAGCAAGCTTTTAATATACACCGTCAAGTGCTCTGCTGCGAAGTTCGAGAAAAGTTCCCATTTTTAAAAAAATTCTGAAAGAGTTAGTTGAATCTCAAGAATCTTCAAAATTTATGCCACAGGACCATACATAACATGATGAATTGAATAAATGTGATCCAAGATTTTTTTGGGTAAATAATGCTTACTTAACTGGGATGCGTTCATAAAAAGGTGCGTACTTAAACGGAAGGCTACTGTGCATACTTCCGGCTCGAACTCGTCAAGCGCCTCGCACATGTTGACCGGAGGCTACGATTTCAGCGCACTACAGTAGGCGAAGGCGACTGTGTGGATCGTACACTGCGCATCCGTGGTGACGGATCTCGACGCTGTTGTTCTACTGCGTGAGCGTTGATTATGTTTTCTGCTGATGTGGCGCTCCCGTTCTGCGTGAGATTCGTTCGACGTAGGATGGGTCAACCATCCTACGTCGAACGAATCTCACCCTCTTAAAATACAGGATTTCCAGCGGCTTATATTTTCGAGGCAGGACTTCCAGCTGCTTCATATATTCTCGAGGCAGGACTTTCAGACTCGCGGTCAGACTCTGCCTCTGCATCTGCATGTATATACGACTCGGGCAAGGAGGGCGAATCGTGCCAGTTTTCATCTACAATGGGAGCCGGATTCCAACAGTTGCAGAAGCTCATCATCGCTCAAGATGGCAAGTGAAATTGAAGTGATCGGATGGGCCGCTAGGGACACTTTGGGCCACATGGCCCCGATCACCTTCTCTCGCAGGTACTCCCCGCAGTCGCTGCCCTCTGAACTCGATGTCTGCGGATGTGAGCGACAATTGGAGTATCAGTTGGGTGCAGCCCACAGTCCCAATTTTCAGCTATGCCAGAACGCGTGTGGTGCGAAGCCGAGCTGAAGCTTTCTCTTCTTCCCTTCTTCTCATCCACCATGACCTGAGCGCACACTCTCTTTTGTCAAGTTTTGAGCTGGCGGCTTTCATATTTTGAGCTTCTTGAGCTTATGATGTTCTCCAGCCCCTTGGTAGATCTGTCACTCTGCCAACATTACGTGGGACAAAGAGAGCAGCTAGGGTGTATTACTCTCCGGTCGATGAGACACTGAATCTCGACCTTGACTCTTGGCTTGCAGAGCCCTCGGCCCCCGAGATGTAAAATTTTTCATAAAGTTCTGTGGAGTGTGTCACTCGGACTGGACTGTCATCAGCGGTGAAGTCTATAATCCAACCTTCCCCGTGGTGCCCGGGTAATGTTTCTGAAACCCACTGTCAATTCATTCGGCCGAGCGAAAGTGCAACGTGTCTTGTCTCGCTGAAACTTGTGATTGTTGGGACTGACGTCGGGTGGTACGGGAACTGCAGGCACGAGATTGTGGGAGTTGTGGACGAAGTGGGATCGGAAGTGACCAAGTTCAAAGTCGGAGATCATGCAGCCGTGAGCGCATACGTGAATTCTTGCGGGTCTTGCAGGGATTGTGAACGAAAGCTACCTCAGCATTGCAAGGGTAAAGTGCGGGTTTACGACTCCGTGAACCCTGCTGACGGACTTCGAACATATGGTGGATACTCGAACTTGATGGTCGTGGATGAAAGGTACGATTGCTTGCTCTGTTCGACTTCATGGGGTGGGCCTGTTTCTCTTGACCTGGATCTGTTGCGATTGGATGTCATGCCGTAGCCATTCATATCCTCATGAGTGATTGATACATGGTCAAACTCTGAGATCAGCTGACTCGAGGATGATGTTTATTGCCAGCTTCTGCCTCGTGCTACCGAAGAACTTGCCTTTGGATGGCGCCGCCCCACTGCTCTGTGCAGGCGCAACTGTGTGGAGTCCCATGAAACGCTATGGAATGGGCAAGAACGGCGATCGCTTCGGCGTGGTAGGATTAGGAGGCCTGGGCCACATCGCCTTGAAATTTGCCAAGGCCTTGGGGATGCATGCCACTGTGATCAGCACATCCCCTGCGAAAGAAAAAATGGCCCGAGAAGAACTAGGAGCTGACAACTTCATCGTATCGAAGGATACAAAGCAGATGGAGGTGTGCCCCTTTCCGCCCCCTATTTTCTCCTATAGAAACAAAGATCAGGTTTGATTTTCCTAGTAGACTGAAATTCTGGAATTTGTGGTTCCAACCGGAACCTGAAAGAATTGCTGGTATGTTTTTCTGGTTCAAATCATTTATCTTGTCAGAGCATCTAAAGCTGAGATGCATTACAACCATGTCAGTAGCAGCATACTTTCATGTTCTTTCAGTACCGTATGATATCCTTAAGTTCATGCCTCGAATTTTTAATAAAGCCAGTACTCTGATGCATAATTCCTCGCAGCTGAATTCCAGAAACTGAGGTCGTCAGACAACCAAAAGGTCATGGATCTAATTGAAACGGATGTCTTTGCAGATGACTAATATATTACGGTGAGTGTTATACAGGAAGCAGCAGGCACTTTGGACTTTATCATCGATACCGTTTCGGGCATCCATCCTTTGGACCCGTTGATGAACCTTCTCGCCCCTCAAGGAAAATTTATATTCGTTGGTGTAGGCCTTGGAAAACTCCAGATTGATTCACTCCCGATGTGTTTCGGTGAGAATCCAGCTCTTTTTAGTCCACCAAGTATTGACTAATATTTCATTGACCCGATCGACGAAATGGAGATAGAGCCTCATGAGTTTGACTGAATTCTTCGATTTTGTTGGTTTGCAGATGATTGTTGGTGCAGACTTTGCAAGTTTGCATTCTCACCGTATGATTTATATTTTGCCAGGTGGAACAAGTATCGGATCAAGTTGCATCGCTTCTCAGGAAGAGCTACAGGAAATGTTGGACTTCTGTGGCGAGAAGAATTTAGTCTGCACGATTGAGAAAATTCCCATCGACTACATCAACGAAGCCTTCAAGAGGATGCTCAAGGGAGACGTGCACTTCAGATTTGTGATTGACGTGGGAAACACTCTGAAACCTCAGAACTAGGTACTGCAGTGGAGCTGCTTGTACTGCGCCAAAATACTCTATGCTCGATGAATGCTCGCAAGAAGAGCACACAGATAACTTGACAATCGGTTCTTTCACGAAATACGGAAAAACTTCTTGTTGTCCAACTTACTTTCTCCAATCAGACCAGTGAATCGAAATTCCAGACACAAGATTGGTGGAGCGTTTGCCCGATAATAGTATCCAGCATCCGATCTCCGTGGTGGGATTATGAAACTCTTGAGTTTAGAAGAAAGCTAATCAGTCTAATGGTCACGCTATGGTTACAAAATCACTTGAGCGCGCTTAGCTGTGGCAATGAACAGGAAAGCAACGCTAAGACCAGACCTTGCTATGAGGTTGGAGTTGGATTATCCAAGAGTGCGGTCAAGATTGTAAATCTGCAACTTCGCAATGGTAAAAAAGCGTCTCCAGGATTACGTTAAATTCTGCTCGTTGTAATTTTTATTCTCGGGATTTGAGGAGTATCAGGTATGCACTGCTGAACAGGAGGATTCCCTTGCATTACATGTACTGTCCAGTTGCAAAAAAGATTTTTCTAATAAAAAGTTATCATGTGGTTATAAAAGCTAACATCGAAATGATTATATAGTTTAATAAATTAACAAATAATTTCAACAGATATATAAGTAGTTTTGTTTTGAAGAAAGGATTATATTAATAATAAAATATAATGAAATTATAATTTCAGAATAAATTGCGACAAGGGTGTGTTAAAATTTAGTTTAGAAGTTACTTGACAAATAATTTACCTGATCATATAAAAATAACTTTATTTTAATTAAATATATTTAAACAAATCAATATTAATTACGTGATCTGATTTAAATTTTTAAACTTAGTTGAGAGATGAAGTTAAAAGATGAATATCATTATTTCGTATTAAAAATTCAATTTAGAATATAGATTCATTTTTCACTAAAATACAAATTTGATTTGTTGTATCGAATAAATAACACTGATTTGAAACACTTAAGTTTGACTTGTAAATTTACAAGGTTATAAATTTCCAATGTGATGTCAAAATGTCAATTGTAAATCTTTTACAAGAATCACACAAACAAAATAGATAAAGAGTTGACAATAAAAACAAGATGTCTAAAGATTTATGTAACTCTTGATTAATAATAATCTCCCTATCATATATTAATATTTTTTGAGAAATTATAGTAAGAAAATTAACACAAGGCGAGAGTTCTTGTTAATTAGAGTAAACTAAAAATAAACCATAGTCATAACATGATATAGTAGTAACGAAAAAACCTGCTTGTATAAAGAGAACAATAACATTTATATTTATTTTGCAAAAAGTCATTAAAAGAAACTTAACACAAGTATACTCTTTGTAACAAGAGTCTCCTATGATTAAGTTGTAGTCATAGAAAGATAGATTAATTATATAAAGAGTTAACTGAAAATACCATGCTAACAATCTTTACCTGAGTTCTCATGCACAATCTGCATAGTAGTTTAATGTGGTCTAAAATCTGCGGAGAAATAAATTTGATCAACGTATCAATTAGATTGAGTTTAACATCTATTTTGAAGAGCTTATTTGTTTTATTTGAAATTGCTTATTTGATATGATGAAACATGATGTGGATGTGCTTCACTCTCTTGTCCATAATATGATCCGTAGTCAATTTTAGATCACTCCAACTATCATAGACCAAAATCTTGACTTTGGGTTACAATTAGTGTTGCCCCAGAAGTAGATAGATTCTAATCCATTATGATGAGATCATCTTCTATT